CTGGTAGGGACACTACCGGGAAGACCAACGTGCAGTTTCCACTCGGCGATGGTAAATGAACCACCGAGCAAAGGGCTTGTCTCGCGAATCACCGAGCTCATCAAAAAGACGAGAAACGGGAAAAATCCGGACCAGACGACATCCCGGCAGAAGTCTAGAAGCGTCTCAAAGGTGGCTACTATCTACCACGGCTCTTCAACAAGTGCATAGAGGTAGGGAAGATTCCAGTGGATTGGTCGGAAAGGTTCACTGTGTCATGTACTAGGAGAGTGTGTACTGCTCTACTACAGACCTGCTCGCCTAATGTATCGAGTCAGCTAAAGCACAGTGCCGTTGACACTAAACACGTTGCTTGTTGCATTATAGAAAGGGTCAGTAGAAGGGAAAAATCAGTGCACTCGATTTTTAGATATGGAGAAAGCTGAAATCTGAAAGAGTGCTTCGTCAACTTACTTGGAGAACCCTTTCACATCAGCAAGTACCAGAATGCTTATGAAAGTTGCCTAGCTGAGCTACTGCCCCTCTACTACGTGGATCCGGATGCCTGTAGTAGGCACATCAGAGTTACCGGTTACCGTTGATGGACACCGTGGATATACTCTTTCGGCGCTGCTGCATTCTCCATTTGGACTATGCGACAACGAAGATCAGGAAGGAACCACCTTTGGCGCTGGGGTATGCTGACGGTGTGCTGCCAAGTGGTAGATCCGTGGGAGAAGCAACCCGCCGCACCTCGAGTCAAGCTAAACATCAACAAGACGGAGTTCAAGTGCCTTTACACAATAACCTCGCCAATTGCGATCGACGATTCGCCTCTGGCCATGACTACGGAGCCCCCATACCTGGTGTCATGATCTCCGTACGACCCTTCTGAAAGGTCGCTTCCATGGTTGGAGCGGCGGTCCTTGCACACTTAGCGGAGAGAGGGTTCTGTTAGGGACGCAGCGGCGACGATTCTAATGGCCCTTCAGTCTATGTGATGCTGTCGTCCTGGCTGGTCGCTTCGTTCTGCTGTTCGCCGAAACGAACGGTCGTCCGTCAGTGCAGGCTGTCGACAGTGTCCAAGAAGCCGGGCAGCGCGAGGAAGCTGTACCAACGCAGGACCCGCCGATCTCCCTAGGTAACTACTAGGAGTGGTTGCATCCGAGCCTCCTAGACAACCTGAGGAGAAGATACTTCCAAACCGCCCAGTGGGTCGTCGAATCGCGATCCTTGGAAGCGTGGGCAGGGTTCGTCCTTGTAGGCTAAGGCCGTACCTTTTTCTTCACACTAACATTTCAAATTTATTTCGCAGCTCACTTGTCATTAGGAGCAGTAAATCAATTCGTTACTTGCGTGCATTGCCGTCAATAGTACTGGCATTACATTTCATTTCTTGTGTAGTCATTCATATTAGTTTACTGGGCTTGTCGGCTGCCGCTTAAAGTTAAGTAGGTAGTGACTTCGTCGGCTGGATAGCCGTGCGAGCAGTTGTCCTTAGGCAAGGCGCGCAGCTTGAGCGTATAAGTGGGTTAACATCAAGAACGTGGCCGTAGCGTGCATTGCACATGGGCAGTAAGGACCTACAGGTTGTGGATAGCAACCGCGCGGCAACACCGGTGGCGAGCGAAGGAAAGCTAGCGCTCTGGAGGTCGCTGCATCTATCCGCGTCGAGCGCGACTCCTTAGACAGCAGGTGAAACCCGGTGCTCAGATGGCAGCAGCGGAGGGATAGAGTCCCCCAGGCTCGACATCTAAGCCGAGCGCAGACGCGAGTACTGATGCCGAAACCACTGCCAAAGTAACTGCGGTTTGGAGCAAGAGGAGTACCGTCATTGGCGTTCATTGCAACAACAGAATGCCAATTCACCTGATGTCCAAGATCTATATTTTGGTCGTATGACGCTGGCACCTATGGACGGCAGAGACCCAAGCCAGATGACGGGCCAGGAAAGGGCATATGGATGTTATGGGATGAAAATACTGTGATGGAGCTGGACAGCAAACTGAGGGAAACGAATCCGAAACTAAACCGTTCGTAACAAAATCAAAGCGCGTTTGAAAGCCTTGCTGCATCTCATCTCTGCTGTAGCAGTTATGTTCCCGAAAGCCTTCGATGGCGTTTCGAGATCACCTGCGAGTCAAATCGGTAAACAGGGGAGGGGCCGACTAGAATGCCACTGACAATATCAGCTTGGACGTGATTGCTGCTGGCCTGCACATAGCCGGCGTCTGGAAGAGGGATCGTTGGGAACCTCTTGACGACGTCTGGAAATGGTACCCCAATTGACAACAACCTAAATAGAGAGAGCTCTTCTCTGTCACTGCTCATAGAGCGCAGTACTCTGGATTTAGGAAGGAGGCTCTTGACGCCCCCGCAGTTGACGAGGGAACTCGGTAGGCACGCGGCAGCGCGAAGAGGGCATCGTCCTCTCCGAGCCGCACACTAAGTAGAGCGCAGACAATAAGGGTGCAGCTTCGTCTCGGAAAATGTACTGAATCTGTCGTCGCACCACCGCGAGAGCCTCATAACCGCAAAAACACCTTTCCTGCTACTTATATTTGGCGTGCAATTTCAAGGTAAGTCGTTTTATTATCCTTTTTGATTACCCCATCGTCAGGACGAGCTTTCTTCTACAAGTTTGTGACTGCTGTAAAAACTCGTGATCCTTGAGCTAAGTTTTGCTGATATTCTAAATAATGTTTGGCAGATATGTGTCTGCTAAATGTTTTCGTGCTGCGGGTTCCTGGAAGGAATCGATTGTTCATGCAAGGAAAATTTCTCTCTGACGAACGGTAATACTCGTCAGAGGATCAAATTAACCAGGGAGTTTTGCGCGTAAACGTAATGGACTCTAATAGAGACTGGTCGATCGTAGAGTCTTTAAGGTTATTTAAATCAGTAGCAAACTGCAACCTGCATTTCACAAGCAACTTATGCAGATAAAATTTGTAATGGTGCAGTAGGATGGACGCCTTGGCGGAGCTGTGAAGCATAAGCGAGGAATCGCATACGTCAATGAGTCGGTCAACGTCGAAGCTTACCGTGACCCACGACTCGATTCGACTATGCGATTCTCCTCGCTTGCTTCACAGCTCACCACCAAGCCTCCACCCTACCATTACAAACTTGACCTCTCATAAGTTGCTTGTGAAATGCAGGTTGCAGTTTTGCTATCTATAATTGTAATACCTCAAGCTCTATGGTCTACCCAGATCTGCATCCCAAAAACTCTGGTGAATTGCGGAGTTCCTGGTAATATCTTAGTATAGAAGACTTCTAGTTATTTCTCGTGTTTGTCATCCCCGTCACTGTGCATTCTCCGTGCTTTAGCAATAATCTCCTTCACATTTGACACACTACCCTTTGCTGTATCGTACTGTGCCTTGAACTGGAATACAGTTGAGAGATTATACACTACTCTGACCAATAAGCTGAGTGCTTAGCTTCGCCAACCAAAACCATAAATAATAGATATGAGTGTCGTGAATAACATATAAAACATAAAAACGACCTTGGAGAAAGTAAGGCATCGCAGCCGATTACCAGATTTGTTTTGGCACAAGTCAAGACTCTAAAAATAAATTTCGAACTCTCTACTTTGAATCAGCCAACAGGTAACAGATGAGGTGCTAACGTAGTCGCGCGGTGGCTACGGAAAGCGCTTCTATGGTCTGTTCACTGTACCAAGACATTGAACTTAGCAAGAGGCAGGGACCACGGAGAGGTCCGCAGAGCAGACATAGTGCGGCGCACGCAACCTACCTGACCATCAGCCGAACACCTCCCCCCCCCGCTGCCGTTGAGAACGAAGTTGTCTTGTAACTTCAATAACCAAAAACTCACATTCTTGTTGTACTGGTACCTGCTCGGTCTTGGACCAAAATTGGCTCGGTTTGGAGCCCGAGTTTTAACGAGGTCATCGGAAACACCCGCAGCCGTCACCCACTATCGCCAGCAATCCCCACGTTGATGACTCCTTCGGTACATACCTAGAAACTAACTAATACACATAACAACAGGAAAACATCATGAAAATTGGACAAGTTGTTGGCACTTACGAAAACTCCTGTCCTCCCATGTTCCTAGAAAAAAGTTAGTCAGAGCAAAATAATAATATGAACACATGAAAAACGATTTTCAACAGAAATTCGCAGTTCTCACGTAACCAACCACAACAACAGCACAAAAGCTTCTTATATTATTTAATTACGACTTTGTAAAAAAAATGTTTTTTCAGACCAAAAAACATCTATAAAGAAAGGAATAAGAAGAAATACTATGTAAAAGAACAACCTTAAGGTAACACGTATATCGAAACCGTTGATAAGATAAAGAACGAATCACAACGAGCTGAGGTCATAAATATAGCAACTGCAGTACAATTAGCTTCTAGTCATCAGATATCAAAGTTCACCGATGAGATACCAGTAGCAGTCATGCAGTAATGACGAATGATATTTCGATAGTCATGTAGTAATGACGATTGACATTTTGTTTTCAGATAAACAGATTGATAGGCGGTTGACCTTCAGCGCAGTTTAATTCTCTGAAAAGATGGAGACCAGTGAAGTGCAGCAGCCCAGAGACAATCATGAGTACTACAACAGCACTTTCTGAACAGTCAAAATCAAAATCGGAATTGCCAAGTATTCGGCCAACTGCACGAGTTCGGATGAATGGACTACCAGATAACATTCATGACCTCATAAAAAACAATCGATCAGGGGCCATCGATTACCTTTCCCGCCTGTTTCGATGAGAACACATCTTGCACGTATATTTCCGATTTTTCAGCCCAAAACAGGTTATCCTTGTTTTCTTTGAGAAACATATTCACATATATTTCCGATTTTTCAACACAAAAACAGGTTATCCTTGTTTCCTTCTTTGTTTCATAAGATCATACTCTCAGGGTGCATATAGCCAACTTTCCCAAGTTTTTAACGGGGCCAAATATAACATATCCAGTTCATGCAGATTTCCTAGATCTACAAAGCAAATTTCAAAGCAAAACGGAATATCGTGCTTGGGTCAGGTAAAGTGATGAGACCAATGCTTTTTACACCCTTGTCCCATTATTTCTGTAGTCAGAATGGTCCCAATCTCCTTTCTAAGTCTACGTACGCCTCTCTTCGGGCTCTCTATTGTCAAGCTCTGAATACTGCAAGATAACCTCTAAAGGGACTGCTCCAGCCTCATCCCTAAGAAGTTGGCGCTAGCCTGTAATCGTTCTGTAACACAATACCATCATTTATGCAAGCTATAATAATATAATAATTTCATTCCCCTAATTTTCGCAGCTCTGCTGGACTCTCGCTGATCAGATCTGCATACTCTCTCAAAATGCAGGCTATGGCCTATAACTACCTGGCGCAAATGTAGCAACACCATTTGGGCAGTATCTAGCCCCCAGTAGACGCTCGCGCCCCCCCCCCCTCCCCATATACAGTCATGCCAAACAATTGCGTGCCGCTAACCCGTGTCGGAGCGGGACTGCACTGCAACTAGGCGGCGCCCCTCTTTTTCAACCAATGACCCCAAAACAGTTGACGGGAATCCTAATCTGGTTGCGCTCCAAGTCATGCTCCCGTCAGACTCCCCATCACCTTGCAGGGGTCATGACTGAAAAGATCCCTTCCGGGCATAATTCAGGTGACTGAGGCGCGGCATCACTTGCAAGAGTAACCCCTGGCTAGACGACTTGTCATGCTGCAGGGTAGGATTGACAGGGTGAATGATTTGAGTCTCACTCAGATTGCCGCACACGTGACTCCGCTTGCAATGCTTCTTCAGCGGCCCTGGTCATAGACCAAATGAGCAGGGCATGCCTTTTATCACGGTACCTAATGGCGCCCAGCATAAAAAGACCAAGGAATGGCGTGGAAAATGAATCGGCGTCGTAAGACGCGATTTCCTCATCACCGACGCTAAGAGCACACCTAATATGTAACAGACTGGACTGCATATCTTTGTTGGACCAGTGCCAACGTTTGCACTAGCAGTGTATTAATAATTGGATGGCTCCTACGTGGTGAAATGACAGCACATGACTAAGAAAAAACTCCAAATTTGATAACGCTCCCTGCATTATATGCAAACATTCCTGTGTTATACAAAAACCAAATAGGAATGAGAGCACGAACCTTGGCTTTGTTGTGGGCAATAATGCTGCTCGTTTCAGGAGGTCCACAAATAGGACGGAAAAACCTGGAAAAGTTGTTGATCATTACAGACAACGTATCGATTCCAAGAAAAACGGGAGCGGTGTGAGAGAGGGGGCGGATTGGGAGCGCACCCCGTGTGGCCTTTTCCAGCGATGATGCCATCCTAAGCCCGCAAAAATTGGTAGAAAAGGCCGCTCCGGCTGCGCTGCAATCCACGCCCCCTCACCCGCCCCCTTGTTTGAAAGGATAATGGTATAGGTGTAATCCTAGTTGAGAGCCATGCAGTACCGCTACACTTTCGCTTTGCGAGACTGGACTGCAGCGATTCTGTTCGCCTGGGCTCGGGTGAGCCAAAAATTTGGCTGAATCTCAATTACGATTACATCGTTATATTGTAGAAAAATCAGTACCCTTACTCACCTGAAGACCTTGCACAGAGTTCTCCACAGCAATGTCTCTGACATCTTTCTAGCGATCAATGCACGTTAGGTTGAATCCAATACAGAAGAAAACCATTGGATAAACCATAAGTGAAGCAGGGACAAACAAACCGTGGATAATAATTTATTCAAATATTTACAGCAATCAAGAAGAACCCGTGATTGAGGAAGAGTGGAAGAACGAGTCATTCATTACTCGTCACTGAGTAGAAAGCATCCGATCACAGAACAAGGCGTAAAGAACCCAGAAAAATAGTTAAACTTAACATTGCACCATAAAAACAAAAGCTTACCACAGCCTGACTCAACCCAAACAAAATAAATAAAAAACGAAAGCAAAAACCACCAGTTACTTTACAACTGTTTAACGGAAGAAATGTCACTAATTCCGCTAAATCTCATTCCAACTGTGATGAAATCAAACCTACACTGTGTAATGGATTTGAATGTCTTCCAGGAAATCCCTTCTTCAGTAGTTTTCTTTCAGCCGCTCAATAGCATAGCCATATATAAATTTCCGACGCAATTTGGCTTGTGAGGGGGGGGGGAGGTGCATTTCGCACCTTCGCGGCTATCGCCGTGTTAATTGCTTTACGAGATTTGATAGGCATTTTTCAGAAGAGCTTACAAGTAGTCTCTGGAAACTTCCAAAAGAAACAAACTAGCATCAATTCATGGCTTCACAAGATTTTACAGATCTCTATTCGATGGCTTGAAATGATTATGGAAAGCAGCGCTAATGCTGCCCTCGCCCCCACTAAGCCGAATTGTGTCTAATATATCATCTTCTAAAAAATACAATAATAGTTTTCAGCCAGCCGCTCAATAGATATATTATATATTTTTGAATGAAAGCAGAGTGATGCTAAAGGTACCTAACTATTAAAGAGCCCGCACATTCATAAATTCAGCGGACCGAAACTTTGGAATCCACTGAAGGCTTTTCTAGAAGGGACGCCGACGGGTGATCTGGAGGATGACTGCTCCAACTGAAGTAACTGAGCAGCAACTGGATTATATTGTTGATCATTCGACTTGTGGCAAACACTCCACCCACAACAGCACATAAGCGAATAAAAAGAGCAATGAGTGACCTGAAATATACTTAGACATCTAGATGAAGCGCCTGAATCAATAATAAAGTTCAAATATAAAAAATTATGTCTTTCAGTTCCATGCGATGAGGAGATCCGCGTTGGCACTAACGTACTTGGGGGGAGGGGGAGGGAACCACGTCGCTGCACCTCTCTATCCCTTCCCCAAGAAGGCTTACGCTTTGAGCGCAGACGACCGGAGTAGCTGATGGTAAGCCCCACGGAGAAAAAATGCTCTCCAATGAGCCAAAGCCTTATAGGAACGGATACGGAGGTGCGGCCAAGTGCAATCCCCCCCCCCCCCCCGTCAGCTACGTTAACCCCTTCACTTCTTCAGGCCTAATGTGGTCGGCGGATACATTGATCTCAACCCCTTCATTGACGTTACTCCCTCTCTTGTCTGTGCCCTCTCGTCTACATGCCGTTCAATATCCCCTCTGACCGAGTGGGCTGGAGGGGGCGGTCTTACGTTACAATGTCACCAGTGCTGCCAATGACAGGTCATGCTCTGCGCCACCTAAGTTGGATTGCTCGTTCGGAACACTGGACAGTTGAATTTCTATAGTTAACAGCCAATATAAAGCGTAAATGCTGACTTCTTTACTTGTGGTTTCCAACCAGTACCAGCCCCTACAACGATCGGTCAATAAAGTCAGTGAACCAGTGATTTGGAGAGGTAATCAAACATGGAAAAGGCGTCGCGTACTAACACTCGGAGATTTCACAACAGTAAGGAGCTCAACCACCACAGAACGCCTACCACTAGAAAAGTCCATTCCCTGGTACACCATATCTTCTCTCTTCTAAATGCACTAGTAGGCTGAAACCTAAGGACGCGTTCCTACTTTGCCGCAGCGGTGAG